GCTAGCACCCAAATCAAGCATTGCCTTCTCTACTTTCTTGTCCCCTATGGTGATGTTGATAGAGAAACTTCCTGGATCCTTGAGCTTTGGTGGAAGTTTTCTTTGCAAAACTGCACTCACATTCTCAGACACCACTACCTTCTCATGTGGTCCATACTTCCTTTTGTAGCTGTTTAACTCCTTGAAGAACTTCCCATATGCTGGCATGTTCCTAATGACATCGAGCAAAGGTAAGTTAACATTCACTTTGCTTAGTATATCAAAAATTTCTTTGAATGACTTATCATGCTTGCTCTTGGCAAGTCTTCCAGGGAATGGTATTGGTGGAGTGTATGGTTTCTCGGCCTTGTGAAGATTTGGTACTTCAAATGAGGAAGTAGCATGGCTTGGTTCCTCATTTGGTTTCTCATTGTCTCCTTGAGTAACACCTGCATTCACATGATCATATTCATTAGTAACTTCATTGCCAACTCTATTATCAATAACCTTACCACTTCTAAGTGTAGTGATTGCTTTGGCTTGCTCTTGGTTCCTTTGGAGTATCACGGGTTGGCTTGGAAACTTTCCAACCTCTCTTTGGTTCACGGCATCTGCAATCTGCCCCAATTGTGTCTCCATTTTGGTTAGAGCTGCTGAATGTTGTTGGAGAGTGCTATTGGTGGAATGTTGGAATTGCAAGGTGTTTTGAGCTAACAATTTAACCGTATCCTCAAGGGTAGTGGCAGGTTTTGGTTGGAAATTTTGGAATTGATTGTTGTTCTTCCATGAAAGGTTGGGATGATCTCTCCAACTCGAGTTATAGGTATTGGAATACACATCATTCCTTGGCCTTTGGTTGTAAGAATTCATGAGGTTCACTTGCTCTTGAACATACTCGGGGTAAGCCTCCCTAGATGGACATTGGTGAGTAGGATGGCTTGGTATGTTGCAAATGGCACACACTTCATTTGATTTTGGCACCATGTTGAGCACGGATTCAATCTTCCTTTCTAGGTTAGCTACCTGCAACAAAAGCTCATGATTAGAACTTGTTTCATAGACTCCAACTTTCTTACCCCTTAAATCTTTGTGTTGAGCATTAGACCCCAACATCTCATAAATGTTATATGACTCTTGAGCATTCTTTTTCTTCAATGCTCCACCTGCTGCATTATCAACAGTTGATTGACAAGTTTGGGTTAGTCCATCATAGAAAATTTGCATTTGTAAGTGAAAAGGTAACCCATGGTGTGGACATTGCAACAAGAGGCCTTTAAAACGCTCCCAACACTCATTGAATGGTTCTCCATCATCTTGTTTGAAGTTGAAGATTTGTCCCCTTAATGTGGCTGTCTTTTGAGTGGAAAAGAACTTCTCCAAGAACTTCTTAGCCACTACATCCCATGTGGTGATGGAACCTGGTGTTAGGGTCATCAACCAACTCTTGGCCCTATCTTTCAAGGTGTAAGGAAACACTCTCATCCTCAAGTTTGCTTCACTTACTCCCTGCAAAGGTAAACCACTCACAACATTATAAAACTCTTTAATATGAGCTAAAGGGTCTTCATTAGGTAAGCCATAAAATGAGGGAAACATATGGAAATGTGAAGATTTAAGATCATAGTTTCTAGCTTCTGTGGGCAGCAAGATGCATGAAGGTGAATTTGGTATGATTGGTTGAGCAAAGTCCTCCAAAGCTCGAAGCTCATCTTGGTTGCCCGCCATCTCCTCTTCTCTTTCCCAATCAAGGTGCTCAGATCCTTTGCTTGTTGAATTAGGTGAATTCCCTTCTTCTTCTTCACGGACAATGGATGAACTTGATGGCACAAAGTTGTCTAACGTGTGGCCCTTTAACCGTTCAATTCTTTGGCCTAACTCAACAAGTTTATTTGACATATACTACCTAAAACAAAGTAACACAAGTTTGAATGAAAATCACGAATCTACCTACAATGAAAATAACAAAGTTTAACTAGCAAACAACAATGAAAAGAACAAAGTTTAACTCGCAAACAAGCAATTACAAGGGACTGAAATCAGTCCCCGGCAACGGCGCCATTTTTGTTGATGTATTTTTCCTTCCTAATGCTAGAATATATTTAGTATAATGGCACAAGCAAGGGTGTCGAATCCATAGGGACTAATTGGACCTATGTAATTACTTGTTTTGCAAGAACTCTAAGAAATGAATCAAACTAATCAAACTAGGCAGATTTGTTGTTGTACCTTGAAAGTATAAGAAAATGAAGTAAACACAAATAAATGAATCAACAACTAATACAATGAGATAGTTCCAATGGAAATGAAACTAGGGATTCGATTTCACCATTGCTCAACTAAATCCATGTTTGTTAAGTTAGTTTGTACTCATTCATCTACCTATTTCTTGAGTTTGTTTCACTTGGACATGATCAACCATATGATATGTGGATTTGATCAAATGTCTCTAATCATGAACCTAATTGTGATGTGCAACTTTGGTTCATAATCAAGAGTATGTAATGCACAAGAAACTTTCATAAAACTAAAGGGAATAACTCGGCAGGATGTGTGCTAAACATTCCCTTCATTCATTCACATATCTACCAAGATTATGCATGATGTGTGTTCTAATCTTGGCTACACAACTTTGTGATTAATTCAAATGATGATCAAACATTAAAATCAACACACTAAGTCACCATTAAATCAGAGAATGAAACAAGAAATAGATGGACAAACTGAGCATTCTAACTTAATTACATGGCAAACTTTGCAAGGTTACATCGAATCCCTAGAGGAAGATTAGTTACACTTCATGTTTACAAAGGTTTGACATAAAAATAAATAACATGAGTGAACATAGAATTAAGAAGAAGAAACCCTTGAAGCAAACTGATGTTGAATTCCTTGAAGAGTGGCCTTCGGACTTGATTCTCCAAGTGTGATGCAAGTGAACTAAATTGGTTATGGTTGAATGGTTTCTGCCCTTGGGACAGAAATGGACAGAAAATGAAGTGAAATGGGCAGAGACTGGAGGGGAAATGGAGTGGCTATATGTGTGTATAATGGACTGAATCAAGAACAAAAATGCGGAACCCTTTGAAGAGTGAAGTGAGCCTTGTTTTATAGAAAGGAATGTGGCTCCAACAATCAGATTGGATCTCAATCTGCACAAGTGAGATGGAATAGCATCAAATGAGCTGGAATTGAATGGGTTTCTGAGGTGTTGGTCGCACGGCATGGACAAGGTCTGCAAGTATATGGTTTGTTTAATCAAAATGCATGTGCCCTTGCTGCAACAAGTGAGTGGAATCTGCAAAGGTGAATTGTTTGTACAAATTCTGGAAAGGTGAAGAAAACACACGGCATGGAATGATGGGATGAGTGATTTTCTGGAATAAAGGATGCAAGGAATGGACATGATCTGCAGGTATGTGGTATATTTAATCAAGATGCATGTGGATTTCTGCAAAGATGAAGTGGAGAAAGGTAATGGAATGCATAATCTGACTTGCAATCACATGGGAGTGCACGGCATGATTGTGTTTGTTGGTGTCAAAATGGCTGAAATGAATTAAGTGATGGAAATGGGTGTTTTTGGCGCAAAAGGGAGATGGACAAGTAGTGGAATGCACGGCCAAATTGTGAGGAATCTGATTTGGTGCTAGAAGTGCATAAAATGATGGGATGATATGGGAACACACGGCCAAGGTTGTGACATGCATGTGAATGCATGTTTTGGTGTTGGAACACACATAGCTGACTTCAATGATTTTGCCTTGTTTAGAATCACCCAATATGGCCGAATTGCATTTCTTAACACTTCACATCTTTTCTGGAATGTTTTTACTTCATTTGCCTTCCCATTGATCCAAATTCACCCTTGGCTGCACACTAACACCAAATAATGTAAAATGCAACTAGTTTAATCCAAAACAATCACAAAGACGCCAAATAAGGAAGATATAAATGCATGCAAAATGTGACTTATCAGTGTTTTGGTTGTTTGTTTGTTCTTTGTGCTTTATTAATTGTGGGTCATGTTATAGCCTATCGAAAACAAGATCATAAAGAAAGCATGTTTGTCCAACATAACCAACAAGAACTAGATGCCTTTGCTTGTACTCAAGAGTAATGCTATTCACACTATATTTTTGTACCATATTTTCATACCATCTTAGTTGGTATTTGATACAGACAGTCACATCATTTAAATCAATTAGATTTTTTAATTTAGTTCATTATTTAATAAACTAATAATCAAGAAAAACTAGTTAATTAAATGATGATTGTGTTGTACAAGGAGTCTTTCTCCTTCCTTTCCTTGGGTTTTACAAATTTTTCAAATGATGTGGCTATCCACATCAGATGCCACCTAAAGTGGTATAGAAATATGGTATAAAAACATGGTATGAATAACATTACTCTTTACTCAATGCAAGTGACACCCTTTAATTTTGGTCTCTATTAGATTCTCAGTTAACCGCTGACCGGAGAAAATGATAGAGGGAGGGAAGGATGCCAATTCACGCAACATAAACATAGCAAGGTGAGGGAAATGATTTATGCACATTATTTTTCACTTTATGTACACTCCTTTTTTAGCTGTATGATTAAATAAAGAGAAAATTGTAGCAACGATATTTTAACCTTAACCCAATTCGAGTGATGGTCCCTAAACTAAAAACTCATGACCATTGATCCCTTGACTTATCAAAATGTGCAGCTATGACCCTTTTCGTTAACTCTATTAAAATTCCGTCAAAATGAGTTATGTTGGAATGACCATTGCTACAATTGGATTAAAGTTAAAAGACCATTACTCCAATTGGGTCAACGTTGAGGGACCATTGCTCTAGTTAGGTTAAATGGTCGGCTGTATGAATCCTACAACACCACTATGCTGGGTTTTGCGCCATGTCTTCCGTTGTTATAGTACTAATGAAAAATTAACTGTAATTAACATGTAACCAATTAGTAGGGTCTATCATGGAAAATTTTGGAAAGGAAAAAAAAAAAAAAAAACTACAATAAAACAATCAAATTTCTGATATATGCATCATATAATTCCACCATTTCAATGTCCTCATTTTATGAAAATGACCAACTTGTGGGGCCCATGCAAAAATATGGTCTCAGTACCAGCTCCGTCTATCTTTTAATTCTCCTCCAAGCATCATTACTATAAGTTCTCAAATCAAAATCTACTTATTCGGTTCCCCTCATGATCACCTATAAGTTTATCGGCAGCACTTTGTCCCTCTATTTATTACATGACAATTAGACGACTAAAGAGTCCACTGCACTCTCCTTGCATGGATAATCCTTGAAGGCAACAAAACAATAAGTTGGATCGGAATCTTCTGATTACGAGACCTTCTTATGGGTCCCACAATGTAGTCATTTTTCTTTAAACAAAATGTATTTGCGTGTTAAGCACATAGCACCTATTTTTTTTGTTTACTCATTAATGCAACAATAGAAGTAATAGAATTGAATCAACTAATTTGATGCGACAAAAGAAGTAATAGTATTTGAATCAAATATTTTGATAGACAAAGTAGACAATTATTTGATCAGTAAACATTAGCTTCTTCCCTTTAGTAGGAAAAGAGATTCTTACCAAAATAAAACTAGACCACCGTACAAAAAGACAATAGACTAATAGTTCCATAGCCAACACACTGACAACTTACAAACAAATTCAAGCAACAAAAACCATATAAACAAAATTATAGACTTCTTATATTTGCTATATTTCGGGCAGGGTTGCAATCTAGGAAAAAGTTTGAATGTCAGTTCTTCAACAATAATTTCGGTTTTAATTTTGAAGAAAAAAGTTTGCATGAGACTCAGGTGTATCAGTGTATCTGGAAACCAGAAAGAAACAAAATATGGCAGCCATGCTTGATAGTACCTTATCCTATCTAGCAGTAGATGTGGGGAAAAAGAAACATGATATATATTCTTTCAATGCCAGTTCTCCAACAAGAATTTCGGTTTTAGTTTTGAAGAAAACACTTTGAACGCGACTCAGGTGTATCAGTATATTTGGAAACCAGAAAGAAACAAAATATGGCAGCAATGCTTGATAGTACCTTATCCAATATTGTAGTAGATGTGGGAAAGCAGACCGATGATTGCACCAGTGGTACTGAGGAGTCAGAAATCCCGATTTGCAGTTCATTTCCTTCATAAGCTTGGCATACAGATTCTATCAAAGTATCATTAGATTTAGATGGTTCGTGATCAATGCTGCTACCAAAGTCAATTGCTTGTTCACTATTCTTGTTAGCGCTGTGTTCAATTGTTAGACAAATAAGGAATATACTAGCCGTCCTACAGCCATCCTACCTTGTCCTACCTACACACTAGCCGTCCTACAGCCATCAAGCCGTCCTACAGCCGTCAAGCCGTCCTACAGCCGTCCTACCTTGTCCTACCTACATACTAGCCGTCCTACAACCGTCAAGTCGTCCTACAGCCGTCCTACCTTGTCCTACCTACACACTAGGACGGCTACCTTGTCCTATCTACACACTTGTATCATGTATATATATCCTTGTAATCTTGTAGAGAAAGATAATGAGAAAAAAAGCATTCTCTTCCATTTTTTCCACATTCACGTATCAATATATTTTTAGCCTACATACCTTTTTCTACATGGTATACAGAGCAGGTTTATAACCCTAGCCCTAATTTTTTTTCTCGGCAGCTTTCTCTGCCGTTCCCATGGCTGTTCGTGGCCCGTCCCGTCCATCCTCTGCTCGTCCTCCCCTCCACTGCACCTACTGCAATTTTGATTATCATACCCGCGACACCTGCCATAAACTTCATGGCTATCCCGTTGGCCATCCCCTCCATGGCCAACCGTGGCGACCACCGCGTCGTGCCACTGCTTCCAGTTCTTCCCGCAGCCATGCACCTTCCAGTCCTCCCTGGCAGCCACGGTTTTCTGCTTCCCGGCCCCATAATTTCACCCAGGCCCATCACGTGCAAGGCACCCAGGCCCCCGCCTCCTCTTCTACTCCAGCGACCCACCAAGTGCATGGGGCCCAGCCCACTTTGCATGACTTGCAGCTTGCCATGCCTGACCTCTCTGCCGAGCAGTACTCCCGTGTTCTAGCTGCTCTACGTGACACCACCACCCCTCCTCAGGCCAATGCCGTGCTCACTACTGATTTTGCCCAAGGTTTGTTACCTGTCACCTCTCGTCATGGTCAATGGATTCTTGACAGTGGTGCTACGGATCATATTACTTCTTCTGCCTCATGTTTGGTTAATCGTTCTCCTTCACATTTGCCGCCTGTTTCTTTGCCTAGTGGTGCTTCCGCTCCCATTACTTTTACTGGCACTCTTCCTTTAAATTCATCAGTTACTTTGAAGGATGTTTTATGTGTCCCTAATTTCCGAGTGGACCTTTTATCGGTTGGTAAACTTACAGATGGATTATCGTGTTCCATAACCTTCTTTCCTTCTTGGTGTGTTTTGCAGGACTTGGTTTCGAAGGCGATGATTGGTGTGGGTAAGCGACGTGGCGATCTGTATTACCTTGTGGCCCTTACCTCTTCTCTCCCCACCCGTCAACCTCTCTGCAACTTCATTACCATCCCCTCATCCCTCTGGCATAGACGTCTTGGTCACCCCTCCTCCACTCGTTTGCAAGCTTTAGCATCTAGCTCTCTTAATTGTCCTTTTGATTCTAGTCATATTTGTGATGTTTGTCCGTTGGCACAATAAACTCGTCAACCTTTTCTTTTGAGTTCAATTTCATCAACTTTCCCTTTTGCTTTAATTCATTGTGATATTTGGGGCCCAAATCGTCAATCTTCTCTTTCTGGTGCTCATTATTTCTTAACCATTGTGGATGATTTTTCTCGCTTTACGTGGGTTTTCCTCATGAAACATAAATCCGACACTCAACAATTAATTAAGGATTTTTTTGCTTATGTCACTACCCAATTCCGCACTACCATCCAATGCATTCGTACTGACAATGGTGGTGAATTTTTATCTCTTCGTAGTTTTTTCTCTGATCATGGGGTGCTTTTACAAACTTCTTGTGTTTATACCCCCCAACAAAATGGCGTTGTTGAAAGAAAACATCGTCATCTTCTTGAAACCGCTCGCGCCCTTCGTTTTCAATCCCATCTGCCTATCAAGTTTTGGGGGGAATGTGTTCTTACCGCTACTTATCTCATCAATCGTCTCCCTACCCGTCTTCTCCATCATAAATCCCCATTTGAGGTTCTCTTTTCGAAAACCCCATCTTATGACCACTTCCGCGTCTTTGGTTGTCTGGCATATGCCACCTCTGTCACTCCCACCACCAAATTTTCCCCTCGGGCTCATCGTTGCATTTTTCTCGGTTATCCTCATGGACAAAAGGCCTATACCCTTTACGATCTCGACAATCACCGCATTTTCACTAGTCGAGACGTCATCTTTCACGAAACTACTTTCCCTTATACCGTTTCTCACCCTCCTATCCCATCCTCTTTGCCTACCCTACCCATCCCACCCCCTCTGGACTTTACATATAACCCACCCCTTCCTGCCCCGACGCCTCACCCTCTTCCACCTTCCTCCCCTTCCACGCCTCCCACAGATTCCCTTGCTGCCCCATTACCCGTTCCTCCCCATGCCCCTTTACCCATGGACATCCCTACCCCCCCCCCCCCACTACCTACCACTCCTCCCCTTCCCCGCACCTCTTCCCGTGCCCATAAACCTCCATCCTATTTAAAAGACTACGTTTGCTCGCAGGTGATTCTGCCATCCCACCCATCTTCGACTTCGCAACCCGGTTTTACACAAGGTACGCGATATCCACTTTGTAATTTTCTCTCTTATCACCGTTACTCTCCCAGGCATTTTTCTTACATTAACTCTGTCAGTCGGACTGTGGAGCCTTCCTCCTTTGCCGAGGCTGCCACTGACCCCAATTGGCAACGTGCTATGACTGAGGAGCTTCAAGCTTTACATGCTAATGGTACTTGGACTTTAACTTCCTTGCCCCCTGGCAAAATTCCCATTGGTTGTAAGTGGGTGTACAAACTCAAGCACAATTCCGACGACTCTATTGACCGCTACAAAGCTCGTTTGGTTGCTAAAGGCTTCACTCAGGCTGAAGGTATTGATTATCATGACACTTTTTCTCCTACTGCTAAGATGATTACGGTGCGTTGTCTTCTTGCTCTTGCTGCTAGTCAGTCTTGGTCTCTTCATCAGCTTGATGTTAATAATGCTTTCTTACATGGTGACTTACATGAAGAAATCTATATGTCTCCTCCTCCTGGTCTTCGGCGACAGGGGAGAATCTTGTGTGTTGCCTTCACAAGTCACTTTATGGTCTTAAGCAGGCTTCTCGCCAATGGTTTGCCAAATTCACTAGTGCCATCATTTCTGCCGGTTTTCAACAATCCAAAGCTGACTATTCATTGTTCACTAAAAAGTCTGGTATTTCTTTCACAGCTTTGCTCATTTATGTGGATGATATTGTGATTACAGGCAATGATACTAGTGCCATTAATTCTCTGAAGTCTTTTCTCCGTGATCATTTTCGGATAAAAGACCTTGGTGATTTAAAATATTTTTTGGGTATTGAGGTTTCTCGTTCCAAACAAGGGATTTATATTTCTCAACGCAAGTATGCATTAGAGATTCTCAAGGACTATGGTTTTTTGGGAGCACGACCCATTGGTTTTCCTATGGATGACACAAAATTATCTGATAAAGGAGAACTTCCCAAGGATCCTGAAAAGTATCGACGATTAGTAGGTCGGTTAATATATCTCACTATCACTCGGCCGGATATCACCTATTTTGTGCATGTTCTAAGCCGTTTTATACACGAGCCAAGGATATCTCATATGGATGCTGCACTTCGTATTGTTCGTTATTTGAAGGCTACTCCAGGTCAAGGTTTATTATTTCGTTCTGACAACCAGACCAAGTTAACTGCGTTTTGTGATTCTGATTGGGCAGGTTGCCCTATCACTCGCCGTTCGACTACTGGGTATTGTGTATTCTTGGGCGGTTCTTTGATTTCTTGGTGGACGAAACGACAGAAAACCGTTTCGCTCTCTTTAGCAGAGGCGGAATATAGGGCCATGGCAGGTGCTTGTTGCGAGATAGTTTGGCTTCGTTTTTTGTTGAAGGATTTGAACATTCCTTTGGATGGTCCTTCCATTTTATTTTGTGATAATCAAGCAGCGTTACATATAGCTGCCAATCCTGTTTTTCATGAACGAACTCGTCACATTGAGATGAATTGTCACTTTATACGAGATAAGATTGTAGATGGCACAATAGAGACCAAGCATGTGGGTACGGCACAACAGTTGGCAGACTTGTTTACCAAACCTCTTGGGAAAGAAAAGTTTTCGGGTATGTTACGCAAGTTGGGAGTTCTTGACATCCACTCTCCAACTTGAGGGGGAGTGTTAGACAAATAAGGAATATACTAGCCGTCCTACAGCCGTCCTACCTTGTCCTACCTACACACTAGCCGTCCTACAACCATCAAGCCGTCCTACAGCCGTCCTACCTTGTCCTACCTACATACTAGCCGTCCTACAACCGTCAAGTCGTCCTACAGCCGTCCTACCTTGTCCTACCTACACACTAGGACGGCTACCTTGTCCTATCTACACACTTGTATCATGTATATATATCCTTGTAATCTTGTAGAGAAAGATAATGAGAAAAAAAGCATTCTCTTCCATTTTTTCCACATTCACGTATCAATATATTTTTAGCCTACATACCTTTTTCTACATCAATGGCATTGGGCTGCTCTGATGCACTTGTGCAATTCAAAATTGCATCCCCTACTGCATCACAAATACATTTGTCATCCGAAGAAGCATCTATCTTGCAGTGAGTAGCTCCATCCTGATTATTACCAGACTTCTCTAACTCGTCAGAGGTGGATGCCGAGCCATCTTTTTCCCAAGGACATTCAGATGGTTTACCGTTCTTCTCCGTAGCTGATAACTCAGCTGTATTCATACAAGAGTCCTTAATATCTACAACTTTGTAGCTATTAACATGTGGTAATCATCCATACCATTTAGACTTCTTGTGTGGTCACGGTTCACTGAACTATAAACTTTGTTTGAGGACGAAGTGACTATAGAATACAAGTCTCTCTGCCCTAACCTCATTTAGGACATTGTTTCCATACTCTAAATCATATGAACTCATTCATAGTATATTATCCCTATAATGTAAAAGCCTAAATTCAAGAATGAATTAATATTGCCCAATTATTAATTATTTAAAATGAAATTGTTACATAATATTCAATATTACAAAATTAACTTTTAGGACACAACTCCCAACAAGAACTCCACCAAAAAAATGTCATTACAAGACAAATTTCTTCAAATTAACATCAAACGTTTCAGAAGATGACAACATAGGTTCCTGCACACATCCACATTAAGTAAATTTAGCAACTTCCAATTTCTTAGTTTGACACTAGTAAGATGTATGCATTTTTTTTTTTTTACCAAAGTAAGATGTATGCATTTGAGCATCCAATCCAATTGGCATTGTGTGGAGAGGACCAACATCTTTTAAGAACTTATGCTAAAGTTTCATCCTTCCGCATAGACAAAACAAAACTAGTGTTATTACAATGTGCACTTGTGATTCGGAGCCTGGCTGTAACTGTTTGGTATATCAACTTTGATAAGAACTGAATGAGCTTTGTAGTCAACATGCATGTCACATATAGTACATGTATATATGTAACAAGAAAAAAAGTGAAGATCGAACCCATTTGATTTAACATGTTGCATGAAGAGAAAGCAAACCTGTATGGTTTTGTGTCGAAGTACAGTCCTCAAGAATCTTGAGTTAGTCCATCTTTCGCTGTTAATCTTTTTAATGTACTTTACCATCTCGTCGAGCAAATCTCCATATGTTATGTCGGTCTTGTTCCTAACAGTTTCAGTGAGAATGTATGTCATCGCACCATTCATTGATTTTCCAGCAAAAGCCTGCAATTGTGATTAATACTATATTGGCCCACATGAAAATGAAGTAAAAAAAAAAAAAAAAAAAGTTCAGAAGTACGATAAAAGGGGGGGTTCGACGGAAAAATTTTTTTGGTCACCCATTGAACGGTTTAGAGAATGTCCAAGGCCAGCAAGGCTTTATGACAAGGAATGTTGAACGGTCAAACATCAACACGTGTAAAAATGAGTGCAGTGGAGATGAGAATGTTTTGTTAGATGTGTGAGCACACGAGAAAGGATAAGATTATGAACGAAGATACTGAGGTAAAGTATGAGGGACCACAACTGAAAATAAGATGAAAGAAAATCCGTGAAGGTGGTTTGTATATGTTAAATGCAGACCTACATATGCTCCGGTTAGAAAATGCGATTATGAGACAGAAGGTCAGGGGAAAAAGGTTAAGAGGAACACTTGGACATAGACTTTAAGAAAAGACGTGGAGTACTTAGAGCTAATGGAAACTGGGTCAAAACTGAACACAATGGCGTTCTAAGATTCAAATAACTGACCCTACTTGGTGGGATAAAACATTTTTGTTGTTATTGTATTATTGAACGGTTTAGAAAGGCCTTATTAAAGAAAACGTATGCCTTCCAATCCCATCATTTTGTGGAGATAAGAAGGGATAGGTTTTCTTTCCCTCCTTACCAACTAACATCTAGTTTCAACATGGAAACATTCAGAAGTTGTCTTTTCATCATATTTTCCTTAAACACAATAATAGAGGGATCACTTACAGTAGTATCAGCTGCCATTTTATCATCTTCGCAAGCACTAAGAGAAATCGCTAACCCACCCTTTGTACTTTTTCTAGCACGAGATGGAGGACTATTATCTTTCCAAGCATTCCTGCAAATTAACACGTAAAAAGAAAATGTATTTTCAAAGTCCATTATAAAGGAGAATTTTTAGAGTTATGATGAGATTACATTGCATGCTGCTATGGCATGGACAGTATTAACTCTTAAACTATGGATTTGATGCCCATGATATCTAAATTGTGAAACTTTAATCACATTTATAATACGTGGTATTATATTCTCATAATATATAAATTTGAAGTCACAGATTGAACGTATGTAATCATATAAATTTGAAGTTAAAGACTACGTAAATATACTCACAGTTTACGGTCATACACGTGCTCCAGATCAAGAATTGTTCCACTGTGACAAGCATCAACGATAGCGTGAAGTGTGACACCCTTCTCGAGTGGCCAAACAATGGTTTCATTGATATCATTGTCAAGGATCATTCCCTCTTTCATAAAATCAACAGGGCAAATGGTCTCGTCGAACCCATCAAGCTCATCGTTTTTGAAATCAGGCTGTCGTAAGCCATGCCCCGAGAAGTAAAAAACCAACGAGTCTCCCCGCTGGCATCCCTCCACAAGCCATTTCAAGGAATTTTCTATATTTTTCTTTGTAGGAATCCGCTCTAGGTCACGCGGATCATCTTCTGCATTCATTGGTAAATTGAAAACATAAGGGCAAGGCCTAAACGGTTTTGTTCGTGGGTCTCCATACCCAAAAAACATCTTGCTACGAGAGATCAGATGTGCGCATATAAACTACATTACATTTCCTCACCCAATCGATGTGAAAGTTTGATGCCAACGCAGGGTCACCACAAATAACCACGTCCTTTATCTTTTCCCCCTTTTTCTTTCTTGATTCATTTTTTATGATTGGCTTCTCTTTTAACCTTTATACATAGTATTGGAGACCAATGTCTTCTAAATGAGAAATAATTATACATGTAATTTGCGAATGGTTATAGGATTACGATCGACAAATAAAGAAAAGCTAATTAATTAATAATTACCTGAAAGTATGCGTATGCAGTTGGCAGGAAAACTGAAGGTCTTAGTCAGCAAGTTTTCCATGTTTTTCACATCATTATAAGTGCCTTTGAGCTTGTATTTATGTTGCTTGTATGTCACCCCGCAAAGAAGTGCACGCTTGTTTGCTCGTGATCCACTGGGTACTGGCTCCTTCGAGCTGGAGGAGGGCAACGACATCGGCGTCCCTGTCCCTGTCCCTGTCCCTGTCCCTGTATAAGATTGCTTGAAACTATTACGACTTGAACTACAAGTACTAGAAGAATTGTTTGATGATGATTCCTTGGTTTGAAAACACCTGCCAAACCATCTCCTCAAGCTATGACGCTCACGTTTGTGATCTCCATGACCATGAATACTAGTTTCTCGTTGTGTTTCTGCAGCAGCACTGCGAGTCGTGATTACATGACCGCAGACGCATCGGTGCTGTGTGGCATACAGCGTCATTTGAACCCATTGCTTGCAACTAGGGCAAGTGATTTTTTTGCTTGCCATAATTGTCCATGTATAATATATATCAAAGGCTACAAGGCCAGTTAAGTAATATCTATATATAGAAGCGTAGCCATATAGGGAAGCATAATACGTCGGGCTTTCATATCATCTGGGATTTTTAATAATTAATTGTCGGTTGAGACGTTTTGGTCCGCTGAGTTGAGCATCTTCATTTTATCATATATATTCCTAGCCTTATTTAAAATGTGGGAGATCGACCGATCAAAGAAATTTTGGATACAATTTGATATCTATAAAATCTGAGACGTAAGCGTTAAAGGAAGAAAGCTCTAACTACAAGATCAATCTACTACTTGTCGTGAAAATTCATACATTTTAATTTAAAGGAACAGTGTACGTTAATTCATATGTCCAATCAAATAGCAGTGTATGCATGAACCATGCTTCTTTTTTTATTCCAAGTCATGTAATAAAAGTAAGAATTAGATGCCCTACGAAAGGCAAAAGTAACATGGCAAAGACGAGCCACTATCATGGGATTCGATTTACTTTAATTCATACTTTATATTTTAGGGGAAATGGCCGATAAAAACCAATCTCCGTATAGCACTCAACATATTCGCCCATGGTTTGCTGGTCTGTGGATCTGTGTTTTTCTTTTCATCGTTTGAAATAAGGTGTTGACGTCACTCACTTTTTAATTTAAATCAATTCAAAATCTACTTGGCAAAGTTAAGAAATTACGTATGACGTGCATGCCAAACGTAAATTTCAAACAAAACTGAAGTCGAGTTATCTGCTAAACTAAATAGGCAGAATTGGGTTAAAGCAGGTTCTAGAACCAATTAGGAATTTGGCTCGTCAATTTTAGTGTCCTATTTTGTTTAGGATTGTATTATGAAAACTAAAGGTGCATAGATTGTTGTCTTAAAAGAATTAGGAAATAATTAAGTTTCCTTGTATAATTCAAATTAGGAATCCTAGAAGCCTAATTAGAATAGAAAAAAATTTCCATTTAGAATAGGAACCTTAAAAAAAATAAAATAAAAAAATAAAAAAAATAAAAAATAAAAAATAAAAAAAAAGGTATGTAACAATTGGTCTATGTACTATAAATATATTTGTTGGGGGCTGATTATTCACATGAACAATAGAGTAAAACACTTTGAGAGTGTGAGGAGTGAGAGATACTAATAACTAGGGTTTGCGACAAGAAATGGGGCTTTTCTTGTAAACCAAAGGGGCTTTCATACTAGTGAACCGTAATTACCGAAATGAATGTAAGCCAGTGTCTGCCGAACCACTATAATTCTTTGAGTAATGTTATTCATACCATGTTTTTGTACCATATTTTCATATCACTTTAGGTGACATTTGATACGGACAACTACATCATTTGAATTAATCAGATTTTTAAATTTAATTCATTATTTAATAAACTAATAATTAAGGAAAACTAGTTCATTAAATGATGATTGTGGTATATGAGGAGTCTTTCTCCTTCATTTCCTTGGGTTTTGCAAATTTTTCAAATGATGTGGTTGTCCACATCAGATGCCACCTAAGGTGGTATGAAAATGTGGTATAAAAACATGGTCTGAATATTATTACTCTAATTCTTTGTGATCATGGCGTGAGTTTTCTTTTGTGTGTTGTGTTTTAGTTGGTTGTTTATTCTTTGTGCTTTATTAATTGTCGAAAACAAGGTCATAAAGAAAGCGTGTTTGTACAACATAACCAACAAGAACTAGATGCCTTTGCTTTTATTCAATGCAAGTGACACCCTTTAATTCTGATCTCTCTTAGATTCTCAGTTAACCGCTGACAGGAGAAAACGGAGGGAGGGAAGGATGCGAATTCACGCAGCATAATCATAGCAAGGGGAGGGAAATGATTTCCGCACATCATTTTTCACTTCATGTACACCTCTTTTTTAGCTGTATAATTAAATAAAGAGAACATTATAGCAATGGTCTCTCAATTTTAATCCAATTAGAGTGATGATCCTTCAACTAAAAACTCATGATCATTGGTCACTTAACTCATCAAAACGTGCAACTATAGCCCTTTTCGTTAACTCAATCAAAATCCCATCAAAATAAGTTATGTTGAAATGATCATTGCTACAATTAGGTTAGAGTTAAGGAACCATTGCTCCTATTGGGTTAAAATTAAGGGATCATTGCCCCAGTTGGATTAAAGTTGAGGGACCATTGTTACAATTTTTCTCGTTTGGTTTTTCGTATTTGCCCCACGATTCAGCCTTATGTGCATGGCACGTGAATCATTTTGATGAAAGTTATAACAGAATTGAAGAAAATGACCATAGTTACACTTTTTAAGGAATTAAGGGACCAATGGTTAAGGATTTTTAGTTGAGAGACCATTACTTCAATTAGATTAAAATTGAGGGACCATTGTTACAATTCTCTTAAATAAAAAAAATACGCTACTCTTACCACATTTTTACTACATTCGTACCACCTTTTTAATAAAAATCAAACCCACATAGTAGCCCTATTTTATAAGAGAGATGGTCGTAGTATGTAAAACGTGATAAGCGTAGCATTTCTCTTAAATAAATCAAAGAGAATCATGGGCCATAATTAGGAGGGGGAGTGCAGAAGGTGGAAAAAAAGCGCGGAATTCATTTCTCCAAAGTGCTAGCCAATAAAGGTTCAAATTGACCCGAAAAACTGAAGGGGAAAAAAAAGAAAAAGAAAAAGCAATATTTCGGGAATTATGACTAAATATTACAAAAGGCGAAATGGAAACATTCCAAAATGGCCAGGTTACTAAAAATAAAATTTACAGACATCACTAGAAACTAATCACATGAAATGATAGAGTGCCATTTAGAGAGGATTAGCATTCCCAGGGCATGTCGTTACCCAACAACATTGAGCTGCCCAGAGATTTTTGTTTTGCAAGTTGAACACATAAAACCAACGGAATCTGGTTGTATCTCGGAATCAACAGCCTCATGGTTGAACTCTACTCCGCACCATACGCACGCTGTTGTGATCTGATGTCTGCCAGCCATGCTTAGGATGGCTTCTTCTGATTCAAACTGGACAGAGGAACCAAATGCCTTTTCCATCCCCGTGTTGTTTGTCAAATCCATGGGTACCTCCTGCAGTGTAAGAGATTCGTGCCCACAAGGAAATCCATACTTCAGAGGTTCTATTTCCTCCAACCTCAGCTCCTCAAACCCTGTTTCATCGTGTCTCTGGGCAGCACTACTAAGATGCTCATCTCCCTTTCAACATGGAGAAAAGACAATAAAATTAATTTTCTTTAGCAGACGACATTTTGCACAGAACAAAGAAATATAATCACGTCTAAGATTCGTTATTATAGTACAACAACCACCAAGTCTTCTAACTGTATGAATCCTAAAACGCCAGTGTGCTCGGTTTTGCACTAATGAAAAATTAACTGTCACTTAACATGTAACCAATTACTTACGAGGTCTACCATGGAAAATTTTGAAAAAAAAAAAACTACAATCAACAATCAAATTTCTGATATATACATACACATAATTCCACCATCTCAATGTCCTCATTTTATGAAAAGGACCGATTTGTGGGGCCCATGCAAAAATATGGTCTCAGTATCAGCTCCGTCTATCTTTTAATTCTCCTCCAAGCATCATCACTATAAGTTCTCAAATCAAAATCTACTTATTCGGTTACCCTCATGATCACTTATAAGTTTATCGACAACACTTTGTCCCTCTATTTATTTCATGACAATTAGACGACTAAAAGAGTCCACTGGACTCTCCTTTGCATGGATAATCCTTGAAGGCAACTAAACAATTAGTTGGATCGGAATCTTCTGATTATGAGACCTTATAGGTCCGACAACGTAGTCCTTTTTCTTCAAACGAAGTGTATTTGCGTGTTAAGCACATAACACCTATTTCTTTTGTTAACTCATTAATGCGACAATAGAAGTAATAGAATTGAATCAAATAATTTGATGCGACAACAGAAGTAATAGTATTTGAATCAAATAATTTGATAGACAAAGTAGACAATTATTTGATCAGTAAACATTAGCTTCTTCCCTTTAGTACGAAAAGAGATTCTTACCAAAATAAAACTAGAACACCGTACAAAAAGACAATAGACTAATAGTTCCATAGCCAACACACTGACAACTTATAAACAAATTCAAGCAACAAAAACCATATAAACAAAATTATAGACTTCTTATATTTCCTATATTTCGGGCAGGGTTGCATTCTAGGAAAAAGTTTGAATGTCAGTTCTTCAACAATAATTTCGGTTTTAATTTTGAAGAAAAAAGTTTGAATGAGACTCAGGTAGATCAGTGTATCTGGAAACCAGAAAGAAACAAAATATGGTATCCTATCTAGCAGTTGATGTGGGAAAAAGAAACATGATATATATTTTTTCAATGCCAGTTCTTCAACAAGAATTTCGGTTTTAATTTTGAAGAAAACACTTTGAACGCAACTCAGGTGTATCAGTACATCTGGAAACCAGAAAGAAACAAAATATGGCAGCAATGCTTGATAGTACCTTATCCAATATTGCAGTAGATGTGGGAAAGCAGACCAATGATTGCACCAGTGGTACTGAGGAGTCAGAAATCCCAATTTGCAGTTCATTTCCTTCATAAGCTTGGCATACAGATTCTATCAAAGTATCATTAGATTTAGATGGTTCGTGATCAATGCTGCTACCAAAGTCAACTGCTTGTTCACTATTCTTGTTAGCGCTGTGTTCAATGGCCTTGGGCTGCTCTGATGCACTTGTGCAATTCAAAATTGCATCCCCTACTGCATCACAAATATATTGGTCATCCAAAGAAGCATCTATCTTGCAGTGAGTAGCTCCATCCTGATTAGTACCAGACTTCTCTAACTCGTCAGAGGTGGATGCCAAGCCATCTTTTTCCCAAGGACATTCAGATGGTTTACCGTTCTTCTCCGTAGCTGATAACTCAGCTGTATTCATGCAAGAGTCCTTAATATCTACAACTTCCATAGGATCGTCAGCTCCTTCCACACTTCCATCAGTTATTGTATGTTCACTATCATGTTGATCTGAATCAATTATGTCAAACAAGCGACCCTCCAGGTCCCGTTCACTAAGAGGTGAATCTATGTTCATTTCTTGATGAGAATCGGAAGCAGGAATTTCTGAACTAAATCCCATGTATGTTTTATCAGGTGCAGCATCACCTTTGGATTGATCATTAGGTTCAGCAGTTGTGGTTTCTTTGATAGAGTTTTGAGCAATTTCAATCAGAGCATCCATTTTTGAGATCCTTGATGGCAAACC